GCTAACCACATCTTGACTGGTATTGAAATGTTGAAACAGCTTTGCAAGCTTTAAGTCGGTACCTACTAAATTTAAATTGGTAGGAGAGTAAAAAAAACAAACAAAAAATCAAGCTTATGAAGTATTTTTATTTTCCAATACAATTGTTAACAAATTCTTTACAAACATATGTTTCAACATCTTGTATTCATGCAGTATAAAAATTCAACAATTCCATGACACAACAAGCATTTACATTATTTTGGTTAGTTGAAGCTGAAATAGTTTCATAAATATTTTTGTTCAAATCACCATTTTTCATAGAAACACTGCTAATTATGTCATTGTAGTATTTGAAAAATTCTTGGGATTTCAACATATCAAAACGATACTTAATCAAATTTACCAAATTTATAAGTTCATTTATAGTATCGCCAGCTAAAAATATTTCGTGTCCACCATCTTGAGTGATCTTGATTATTCTTGCATCACCAATAAACATAAAATGGATTTCATAACCATTTCCTGACATAGATTGCCATCCGGTGCTTTTGGAGTAAATAAATCCCAACATATTTTTTCGATTATTCAAAAAGGATATCCATTGCTCTTCATCAAAAATCACATTTTGCTTGTTTTTTGTCCTCCCAACTTAATGACTGGAATATATTTTCTCTCCAAGGAAAATCCAATGCTCACCCATTTGGATTTTGATTTGTTGATATAGTAAATGCTCTCATTGATTAGAGATCCAATATGGTTTTTATTAAAATCATCAATTTTACAACTCTGTTGATAATTATCGTTTGATTGGAACATTTCAAATATAATGAACAAAGTTCCAAACTGAATGTTGGTTGCACCGTTCATCTCTTCTTATATCAGAAGTAGATGGTGGGGGTACTATTTGGTGTAAGAAGTGGGAGGACTTGGAAATAAAATAGTAGGAGGAATTATGTGGTTAGTTCGCAAATATTATAAAGTTGGGTAGATTAGGAATTCAAAAATTTAACACATATAAAATACTAGATAATTTAGTAGTATAATATACATGATATAACAGATAACCTAATATACTCAGAAATAATACAAATGATAAAACCGAGAAAATTATCATTCCTACATTTTTATTTTTTTCACAAGGCTTAATATATAAATTATTCCATTCTCTTGTTGTTTCATATGTTCTATCCAAGTAATAAAATTTCAATTTAAATTACACAATTGAAGATTTTTTTGTAATATTTTCATCAATTTTGTATTTATAGATTCCATAATTTGAAGGTATTCTGTTCCATGCAGATGGCCATGTATCATTTTTTTCGTAATCACTGGATAGACAGATAAATGCTTCTTTGACATTAGAATTTACATGTATAAATAAAGTATTATTCAAAAACGCAGAAAGAAACAAGACTCCTGCTGGTAACATGGTTACTTTTAAAATGAATATAATTTATAATTTCTACAGTTTATATTTATCGTAAAGCAATCCTTGAAGTATCTTGTACACATCATTAACTCTTTCATCATCACTGGTGTCATTATATTTTAGCATATTTATATCTTTGTGGCCCCAGGCTAAGGTTCTGAAAATCCCCTGAATTATATAACGTTTATCATCTTTAGGAGACAATGCAACCTTATTTTTCAATTGCGTGTACATATCGTGCATAACTGAGGTGAAAATATTAATTTTTCTTAGTTGAATTCTAGAATTTTCAACTACGTCTTTATAATCTTCTTGACTAATGGAATTTTGAATTACATATTTCTTTATTCCTTTTGCTTTCTTTTCTGATCTATTTTTCAAGTTAACACAATACGCCTTAGCACTAATGCCCAGAAAGCTGACTATCGGTTGTCCAGCAAATTCATCTTTCATACGACCTAGCACCGACTTATTTTTTGTTATGTTATAGACATTATTTTCACTATAGTTGGAAGTGTCAAATTTATCCAAATTTTCTTGAATATCTCTATAAAAATTATCAGTTTTTACATGTAAAATTAGACTATCCGTATCAGTATATAATAAAATTGCATTGTCACCATATTTTTGTTTAATATAATCATAATAAAAATCATATAATACAGTTTTTGATAACTCCAATACAGTAAAACCGACATAAACAGGTTTATTGTATGTTACTTTTACCCTTTCCATTTGAATTGCAACTAGGTTTTCGGTAAAAATTAAAGAATTTTTAAAATTTGGTTTGGCTATAAGTGATTCGGCACCTTGTTTATTTCTTATATTTTTCCAATGTGTCAATAATCTTATATCTACACGTTTATCGATATTTTCTAAAGATTTGCCATATATAGCGTTATTATATAATTTATAGCAGTCTTTTTCCATTTTATTTTTAGATTGGTTTCTCATCTTGGTATTTAAATCTATATAAGGTTTTAGGAATGCAGATTGTTTAAATTTAATGCCTCTGTAAAATTTTGTCACTTTTAATCCATTATTGATGGCTTGTTTGAGATTTCTATAATGAATAATGTATTTCTCTTTATGGTTTAGGCTGCAAATTATTTTTTTTTTGTTTCGAGTCAGGTGGACATATATTTTCAGCCAAAAAAGGTAATTCATTATGCTTTTCATGTAAATTTAGAGGATACTTAATATCTACTTCAAAAACATAACCATTGCCGGAATCGTCTGGTACATATAACACATCAAAAGAATCTAATTCATCATTACTAATCCAAGAAAAATCACTTATAGGTAAAAATTGACTCATGCTATGTCCATACAAATTAGTTGCATCTAAATACATTATAAATGAATTAGGTTATGTAGGATTGAAATTTGAAAGAAATGGATTATTAGCCTCAGCTTTTCGAACACTGCAATGACATATCCCACCCCTAATACTGTTTTTAAACATTTCAATATCTGTTAATAATTCCAATTTAACACCTGTAAATTTTAACATAGCATCCCAAGATAAGCCTGGTGCTGTATAGTATTGTGCGGGATCCAATTTAAATATATTCAGGGATATACTGCGAAAAGTCTCAAAAAAATCCGTCAATATAAGAACATCGGATAGTAAATAAATTTTAGTGTAATCCAGTAAGTTTTGACAATGAAACAAATTCCAAATATTTATAGCTCTTTCATAATCTAAAGGATCTAAGGGCTTATCCTTGAGTTTATCATAAAAATTTTCAATGGATGGAAGTTGCTTTTCATATAATTTATCCATAGTGTCTATATAAGAATATGGATATACTCCTTTCTTTCTTATTTCATTAAACTGGTTTGGATCTTGGAAATATCTTTTAATTTCTACACACTGATTGGGATCCAAGCTTTCACTAAGACTATCCAATGAAGAGGCAACAAAACGAAAAGAATCTAAAAATCTAAGCTTAATAAAAATATGTTTAATTTTTTTATCAGATTGTTCAATTTTATCTACCAATATCGACTTTGAGAATGAAATATATTTTTCTTTAGTTTGTGCAAGAATATCAATCCTATCATTTTCACAACAAAGTTGTTTGATGAATAAATGGCTGTGATAGCCTGATAAGTTGTGAAAGAACACTGGAATGTGACCCGGAAGTTGAAAATTCAAGTTACAGACACTGTGAGCTCCACCCCTAAATCTACCAGTTAAATGATGCTGATGCTGCTGATGATCCCTTACTTTTTCATCTCCAGGATTAACTTTTCTGCTACAAATACTGCAAATGTCACATTTTTCAAATTCAAACTTTTCTTCATTTGTTAGAGGGAACATTGGAACTACGTATTTTAAATAATCATTATAAATTCTATGGACATGCGCTTCAATTCGTTTACAAAATTCATCAGCTGCGTTTAGACCAAAATAGTAATCTACTACTGATAGGGAGTCATCATATGAACATTTAATAAAATAAGCAAAAGCATACGGCTCATGTTTGTAGGTATTTATATTAAAAGAACAGTTATTATTTTCTGGTTCCTCAAATTTTAGAGATTTTAAAACGCATCCAAAGTCAGCATATATTACAAATGGAACCTTTAACTGTTTTTGGAAATTTTCAAATTGAAGAATATTTTCTGGAATATCTTGACCGTATTTATTGACTCTAATATCTGTTGATGGAATTTTTGTAAACAAATGATTACAATCATTTTTTTGATGTATATCTAATTTCAGTTTTGAATTGAAATATACTAAACAACCATCACAAAAATATTTTTTAATCTGTTTACCTTTAATTTGAGCTGCCACTAACCTTGACATGTCCTTAATCCAACAATAATGATTATTTTTACCTTCATTGAAAATTAACAAATTTACATGTGTTGGCAGTTTTTTACTAGTATAATGAAGTGGACCTACCACTTCATGTTTGAACTTATTTTCTTCATAAACAGTTTCTAATCCGTATACGTTAATAGATATTTGATTCAACAATTCAAATTTTTTTATTTCTTTCATCTTCACTGGAAAGTCTATTCCTTCGAAACTGAGAATATTAAAGAAATTCGGATATGAACTCATCCTATCACTGTGTTTTTCAGCTGGAAATAACGCACTTATTACACTCCATCCAAAACAATATTGGTCATTATTTTTAACATTAATTACAGCTTTTCTGTACTTAATTTGTTTTGGTAAAGGAATATATGAAGAAGCTCTAATAGGATTATACTTGTTAACGTTAACTTCTAAAAATAATATTTTTTCCAGCGCCCATCCAGATCCGTTTTCGGTGAAGGTTGATACTTTCTCTTTGATAACAGACAAAAAACCATTAAAAATTTCTTCAATATCCGAAGTTGTCGTTATAATTTTGTTTTTAGTATTTAATGACTTGGTTTCAGTAGTTTCTTTGGAATGTAAAACGTATTGACCAAATAATTCAACATTAACTTTAACAGCTCTGTGTTTTTTTACTTGTTCTGTAACCAATTTTATAAATTTACTTTTAAGTTCGTGAAAAAATTGATCAATATCTAACAGTTTTTTTGATGGAAGAATGCTTTTGAATGCTGATGTAATAATTTTTACACGATCATCATCATCATCATCATTATCATTTTTCTGAAGCAATGCAGTTTTATGAACATTAGATCGTGAATGTGCACTAGCTTTATTTCTTGCATACCAGACATCACATTCCTTACAACGTGCTAGTATAGGTTTTGGTAATTTCGATTGTTGTAAATTTTTTTGTACATTACTTTCTTGTATTTTCGGTTTTTTTGGTGGTTGATCACTTATTTGGGAATCAGCATTTTTTTTTGATAGAGAATTGGTGACTAGAACATGATGGTCTATATATGCACGATTCTCTTTTGTGTCTGTAAAGATTGTATTTTTGAGTGAAAGTTTTACTACAATCACTACATTGAAACATCTTGGACAGCAAATTTATTCTTCTAAAGTCATACTTTCCATTTCCTTTGCTAATTTATTTGACTGTAGTCCCAAATTCACTATATACATATGATCACAAAAATGTTTAGTACTTATCTTATATTGTAGCAAATTTCCACACAATTCTATCACTTCCTCAATTAAAAGAATTAATTCTGCATTATAAAATGATGTACTTTCTGTTTCAATGAGTTCGTTTAAATGTTCAATAAACAAAATTTGAAGTTCCGAAACTGTTTTCACTACTGACGGACTCAACATTTGTGCTATGTTCATCACTCACTAAACTGATTGAACAACTTAATAAAAATCGTATGAAACCGGAGAGTGTGATATACAGGAAGAAAAAGGTGGAGCGGTGTATTTGGTAGGGTTAGGAGTGGGGTTGGTGGTGGGGTTAGGGGTGGGGTAGGTGGTGGGGTTAGGAGTGGGGTTGGTGGTGGGGTTAGGGGTGGGGTAGGTGGTGGGGTTAGGAGTGGGGCAGGTGGTGGGGTTAGGAGTGGGGTGGGTGGTGGGGTTAGGAGTGGAGGGGGGATGGGTATGTGGTGGGGGAAGAATGATTCCCTTGGTGGAATGACGCTTTACCTTCCACCCTACTAATACCTATTGATAATAAGTTGGTAGGTATGAAGTTCCTTTTTTTCGTCCGCACGAAAGACAAACTTTAATGATTGAAATGATGTTTTATTTTGCTGCAGAGCTCTAGCAGCAGCTAGATCAATGTTGGCAGCACCTGTGATAAAACCAATTTGATTATCCACTGCATACATGCCGTAATCTGGCTCCACAGGATGTAGCTCTTCTACCTCAGGTATTTGGTATTCCATTGTTGATGCACAAATTTTGTAAAGCACAACAGACATTTGTGATTTTTCCTGCCATTGAGGGGCTGTAATGGAGGGTGCGATAACGCAATAGGCATCTGAACCGGTTTTTGAGCACCGCATTGCATCTCTCAATTAAGGATCGAATGGAGCATTAGTCTCTCATTGAAACATTCTTCTCCCACGTTTACAGGTATATTGATCGGTGTTAATAACCATGGATGAAAATATGACAACTTATTAAACCTTATGCAAATATTAGTGGTGACGGCTAGCAAAATGATCATGGACTTTTTTTTTTTAAACAAAACTCTCTCAGATATTTAATTAGAGCTATATACCTGAGTCGCCCAAAGGAAAGTCAACGTTGTTTAGATTTTTCCTGTATACTGTCTCCATAAACTGAGATACAGGAGACTGCCTCCATATATGTGAGTCATGGGTAGACCCTGGGAGCCTTGAGTTAACATTTAAAATTTTAAGGTTTGAGTCCCACACCTAAAAGATGTTAAGCCTTATACATATTACGAACTTTCAAATTTTTAAAATTCATAGTGAAATGGAAGGCTTTGTCTCAAGAAGCCTTATTAGTCTTATAAGAAAATGCTGAGAAGGCTCCAAAGAAATAGAAATATTTAATACAGTGATTTTTAATTACTGATAAACAAATGATGTAGGTATAGAAACACAGATTATCGGGAGTAATACCACGAGTGCTTAAAAATTACCGATAATTTCCATGAAAGCTTGTTGTTTTAATTCCACGAGTTCGAAGAACGAGTGGAATTTGTACAACAAGCTTGAATGAAAATTATCTGGTTAATTTTTAAGCACGAATGGTATTTAGGGTGAATATTTCACGAATTTTATAAAAATTATTGAATAAAATTAAATTTAAATTTGTTAAAGCCGTTAAAATACTTTTCCATGAGCAATTTTGCAGTAACATTCCAGAGAACTTTTACCGTAATGCTCTTTACAATCTTCTCCGTTCCTTTTTGTCATATTAAAGGCCCAGCTTTTTGGGATAGATGGAAGTTCGGATATTGGAGTATCTTGATCAAAAGTGTACTTTTTTTCACCGCAAAACGACATAAACTGCCTCCAAATACTGTTTTTAGATTCCACTGTATTTTTTTGGTTCAACTTCCACTATACTTTCGTGGATTTCCTCATCTTTCACTTCACCAAACCGATTCATTTTGATTTTTAATGGCTTTCGCTTTTGACAAATACACCAAATACTTGTGTTTCTATGGTTACTATTGATTCCCGTCTCTAATTCACAATACAAACATTAATTTTTTTTTTGTCGTCAAAATGTTAAATTGACTTGTATATGTGATAATTTCCCGTTGCCTAGACAACGTTGAATTTCCGCTGTAATTTTTCGATTTGTCATTTTTCCTATGGGAAAAGTTATACAGGGTGTTCCGAAACTATTGTGCCAAAAATTGAGGAATGATAGATCTCGCCAAAATAAGCATTTTTTTACTTATAAACCCATAGGCGCATGCGCTTAGGTTAGGTTCAATCACACGATAGAGGGTGGTTGACGGAAGTGACAGTCAGTGACGGAAGTGACAGTTAGTGACGGAAGTGACAGTCAGTGACGGAAAAGGTCAGGGAGAGAAGAGACACGGTCTTTCTTAAAGCTCTAGCTGTGATTGTTTATCTGTATTTGGTATTAATATAACGTTTTATTGTTTCGTTCTCGTGTTGAATTTATCCACGACCCATATTCGGTGTTGAGCTGTTTCAACACGGAGAAACGTGTTTGAATAAGCAGAACCTGTGTTATTAAATAATACAAAACCCAAAGAATACTTGCAGTATTTATTTAAAATAATGATTGACATCAGAAGATGCTCAAAACTACGACCACCCGCCTCACTCCATGTGTAACAGAGTTGTAGCAGAAATATCGAGTAGATTTCTGCAGGAAACCCTTCCCGAAACTGTTTCCCCGTATGCCAGACAAAACATAAGGTACCAACACGACAGACCAACACCACATTACTTGTTAGCCTTAAGAGAACATCCCAATGAAACATCTGGAAAGAGTTATTGTTAAGGGGGCATGGACTCCACGTTCACCAGACCTGACGGAATGCAACTTTTTCTTATGGGGTCATATGAAAGCTCTTGTTTACAACACTCCAGTTGAAACAGCTAGAGAAAGTTAGTAGGAAGGATTGTTGCAGCAGCTGCTGAAATTCTCGAAACACCATGAATTTTTCTACGTGTTCAGGAGGCTATGCTACGGCGCTGCCACGCACGTATGGCGGTTGGTGGTCGTAGTTTTGAGCATCTTTTGCTGTGAATCATTGTTTTTAGTAAATACTGCAAGCATTCCTTGGGTTTTGCATCATTTAATAACACAGTTTATGCTTCAAACTCGTTTCTCCGTGTGTAAGGTGGCTACTATAGCGCGACCTGTAATGCTCTATTATCACATAACCAAAGCGCATGCGCCTATGTGTAAGTAAAAAACTTTTATTTTGGCGCGATCTATCATCCCCTAATTTTTGGCACAATAGTTTCGGAACACCCTGTATATGAGTGAAATATTCAACTAAAAACGACAGATACAACAGTAAACGAATACTTGCGATCCAACATTCATAAGGTCGATTTTTGTATGAAATGCTTGGTTGCCAATAATCCGATGTGATTTTCAATATTAAATGTCTTGACGGATAATTATTGTTTCAAAATATGTTTTAACATAATGTAAATGCTTTTTTATATCAATCTTTGTTGAAACATAACTTTTAATGCCTTTTTGAAAAGGATAGTCCTTTTTTAATTTCAATTGGTGAAAATTCTAGAATAACACAGGGATATTATATTGCTCGAAAAATGGCACATCGGCAACTTTGCATCTACGAGCAGCCAATCAGATGATCTTATGTGACTTATGTCATCCATAACGGATTTGGCAGTGTTGCTGTGAAGTGATAAAGCTAATTTTATGATTTTGAGTGGTAATCAGTGATATTTCTGGATTCAAAACTGTTGAAAGTGTGGTGTAGAACGTTGAAATGGTACGTCGATGTATTAATTTTATTGATTCCAAGCACATTTCAATATTTCGGCGGTAAGAAATTTGACATCATTTTACTCTCAACATTGGCGTAGTTAGAGGATATTTATGATGGTAATTTATTGTGAGTAAAACTTCTATTGAATTCTGGGAAAAATTCAGAGGACTGAACACGCCGCCACTGAATAGTGTTGCCGTTTTATAGGTCTATCTCTCAAGATGATTGATTGTAAACATTGGGCAATTTTTAAATGGCATGTTTGGTCTCTAGTTTTATTACTAGTCTGAGTATAGAAATATCCCAATGTTATCTTTCAATAAGTAATTTCATATGTACAGTTTATTATTGGCCCTTACCACTTGCACATTTACGGAATGATAATTTTTCCTGTTCACATAAACATGTTCTGGAAAATTTGCATCATTTATATGAGGGGCCACAATAGCAACATCAGTGCAATCTATGCAACCACATACCCCTGGCATTTTATATTTTTCATAGAATCTAGAAAAAAATCAAAACAAGTTAAAAAATTTTAGTATGACCTGCTGTGTCTTGGCTCTACATTGCCAAATTCCCCTGCTCATTTACAAAAAAAGATCACCTACCTAATACAAACAGGCAAGAGGGGACTAAGATATGCAGTGATCTTTCTTAGATAACAAATACACTCCACTACCTTAATATGAAAGAAATGTGAAAAAATTAGTTAAAATGATTAAATACTTAAGAGTGTTTTCTTGAGATTCGAAATTGCTTACAACTTACCTTGTCCTTAAAGGTTCCAATTCTGCAATACCTTGTGGATATCTAATTATTCGGTTTAAAATTTCAGCTTGGTTGAAAGCGTTTGTAATTTCAGTTATAGCCCTGCTTGCTGATGCTTGACTAATACCAACAAAGCTATTTGATCCAGTCACCTCTTGGTGTAGCTTAGCTAAAACCTAAAAAAAAATATACTCCTGGACAAAACTATCGCACCACTGCACATAAGCATCACCATAAGCAGTGGTGCGATAATTTTGTCCAGGAGTATATATTTAGGGAGATCTAGTTATTATGCATATTTTGTATGTGGTATGTTGTATTTTATTATGTAGTGTAGGAGTACTGCCCTAATTTCCCTTGTCTACTTACCTTTGTAGTTACTGTTAAGGCTGATTGTCGTTTAGGTTGCACAACAAATGCTGTCACCATATCGACCACCTCCCTACAAAGATTTTTGCTAAATCTAAATAGCTAAAATTCTAACTTCCAACTCATCAAACATTTTGTTCATTTTCTCTTCAAAGCTGAATAATGCAGCTGTAACGGCCCTCTGTATAGTTTGCTCAAGGTATGTTTGATCGTCTTTATTCGAGCTCCTGGTTGGTGGTGGAGCCATGGCAAG